TGGAGATTTCTGTTAAAGCCAGCGTGAACAGGAGATGTTTCTGAGCTTTATGAGGACGAGTCAACTCTGCAGGTGGTGTTAGAGCTAATGTGATGATGCTGAGACCTCCTCAATCAGTCTGCTCTGTAGATTACTGTCAGGATTACATGACGGATCAGTAGCAGCAGATTGGGCTACGTAGGTGCATTGTGCTTCAACACCTATCACAGGCATATATATATACTGCAGAAAGGGATGAATGCTTTACACAGCCCACCCTGGCCCATGTGATGTGTGCTTGTGCATATGTGTGTGTGTGTGTGTGTCAGGGGGCCTTCCCTAACTTACGTGGCCCCACACACCTTGCGTAGTCCACGTATACGGTGAAACGGTACTGATCTCCACTGTTGGGATGTTGTAAGCTCAGTGTGTTAGTCAGGTGTTCCTCAAACATCTCCTGTGTGTACACCACTGTCCTCCTCATCTCCTTCACCTCCTGTAGTGTTCTGATGGGATTTCTGACTGTTGTAGCTGTGAAATAACTCTAATCAGTCTAAACTCAGAACCCCTTAGAATGCTCATCAGCCAATCAGAACTGTGCTCTCTGCAGTCCTGTAGTATAAAAATAGTGCATTTGCAGAAGAGCATTCCTGTTTTCCAGTATACGTGAAGCGTCTGTCATGCTATCTTTGATGGCTTCATTTAATATTGATGAACTGTTGCACCTGTACTATTAACACGAGCGCTGCGGCATCTGGAGGATTCACACAATCATGAGGCGGCGGCGCAGACGGCCTGCTGGGGTTTGAGCCAGTGTAAATGTTGGCATTTCAGATGGGAGTCGTGACCCGGCATGACGCAGACACCAGCTCCATCGATCCACCGTCTGCTGCCCGAGCCAGCAATTAGACGAAACTCTCAGAGAAACACACGTATGGCCAGAAAAGAGCAAGAGCCGTGTTGTCTGACTTATTGTTAGACTTTTCAAACCATAACAGAGTTGACGGTATATCTGAGTCGACGCTATAGGAGTTGGCAGTGGTAGAACAAAGTTGACGATGTTGAAACTGAGTTGACGATGATAAAACAAGAGTTGAGAATAGTAAAACAGGGTTGACGACGGTAAAAAAAGAGTTTACGACAATATAACAGAAATGACGATGGTAAAACAGGGTTAACAATAGTACATTTGAGTTGAGCAGGGTGTAACAGAGTTGACAACAGTAAAACAGTTGGCAATATAACAGGGTTGACGATGGTAAAACAGAGTTGACGAGGGAACAGCAGAGTTGACGAGGGTTTAACAAAATTGACGAGAGTACAACAGAGTTGACGAGGGTATAGCAAAATTGACGAGGGTACAGCAGATTTAACGAGGGTATAACAGAGTTGACAAGTATACAACAAAATTGACGAGGGTACAGCAGGGTTGACGAGGGTTTAACAAAATTGACGAGAGTACAGCAGAGTTGACGAGGGTTTAACAAAATTGACGAGGTTACAGCAGAGTTGATGAGGGTTTAACAAAATTGACGAGGCTACAGCAGAGTTGATGAGGGTTTTACAAAATTGACGAGGGTACAGCAGGGTTGACGAGGGTTTAACAAAATTGACGAGAGTACAGCAGAGTCGATGAGGGTTTAACAAAATTGACGAGGGTACAGCAGAGTTGACGAGGGTTTAACAGAGTTGACGAGGGTACAGCAGAGTTGACGAGGGTTTAACAAAATTGACGAGGGTACAGCAGAGTTAATGAGGGTTTAACAAATTTGACGAGGGTACAGCAGAGTTGATGAGGGTACAGCAGAATTGACGAGGGTTCAACAAAATTGACGAGGGTACAGCAGAGTTGACGAGGGTTCAACAAAATTGACGAGGGTACAGCAGAGTTGACGAGGGTACAGCAGAGTTGATGAGGGTACAGCAGAGTTGACGAGGGTTCAACAAAATTGACGAGGGTACAGCAGAGTTGACGAGGGTTCAGCAGAGTTGACGAGGGTTTAAAAAAATTGACGAGGGTACAGCAGAGTTGACGAGGGTACAGCAGAGTTGACGAGGGTTTAACAAAATTGACGAGGGTACAGCAGAGTTGACGAGGGTTTAAAAAAATTCAGAGTTGACGAGGGTACAGCAGAGTTGACGAGGGTACAGCAGAGTTGATGAGGGTACAGCAGAATTGACGAGGGTTCAACAAAATTGACGAGGGTACAGCAGAGTTGACGAGGGGTACAGCAGAGTTGACGAGGGTACAGCAGAGTTGACGAGGGTACAGCAGAGTTGACGAGGGTATCAATCTTAGTTGATATTGGTACAACAGAGTTGGTTGTGTAACCTCAGAGCTCCACACATGTCTTAAACAGTTTTATGTATTTTCATCATTTTATTGTTGTTCTAAAGTGAAGAGAGATTGTCTGAACTCTCGCAGGAACAGGGTCGACACATCATTAATCAGGTATTGGTGTAGGTTTATCAGGACTCTTTAAGTTATCATGTTTCAGGAAGAGCCAGTAATTGGGATTTTTGGAGAAGAGTAAAGGGTGCGAGGGCTGGAGAACAGCAGTGATTTGTGAGAGCTCCAGCTCTCCATCATGGCCCGGTGTTCCTCCGCAGTCGTTATTGATCTGCGGTGTGGAGCTCCAGCTCTGCTGAACCGCCGCCGGTTGGCCTTCAGTGCAGCTCCTCTGCGGGACCCCTGAGGGCTCCGGGCTCATGTCCCATTAAAGCATGCGTTCTCCAGGGCTCCACACAGCCGTCCTCCCACACACACACACACACACACACACACTCCTGCATTGTTCCGCTCCTCCGGGATCAGCCCACGCAGCCCTGCGTTTATCTTCTCCAGCACAAAGCAGCAGATCGCGGTGTGTGTCGGTGTTTCTGTCCTCCTCT